TAATGATATTCTAGAAAGACAGTACAAAACTGTAAAATATACAGTAAGATACTTTGACATTACTATTTTTTGGAACAGTGCAGCTGTAGCCGCCTGCGAGGTAGCACAAACTGTCTTTGATGTGGAAAATACTTTGAAAGAGGAGAGGCGATATAACGAGGAGAGAAGAAAAAAGACAAACTGGGGAGAGCATAAAGGGTGGAGTACTTGGGCTTTGTCTTGGGTTTCTAACAGAGCTGCTGTAATACTGGGAAATGTGAAGAATGACACAATGTAAACGAAAAGAGAGGTTGGAAACGGAAGAGGAGATCTGAGCAATATCAATGCTGCTCCCATCAAATCAACCCGAATACCATGTTCCATGTTTCCCCAACCCCGAGCCGCTTATTTCCTTTCTTCCTCCATCTCTCTTCCTCCATTGCACACCACCTCCCTTCGTTTCTCTACCTCTCATCTAGTCTGTACCCACTTAAAAAAAACCTCTTACAGTTGTTTTCGGTGATAGAAAACCAGTTTGAGAGGTAAATGTGTTCGTTTCTAAGGAGATGACAACTGCTATTTGAGGCGCACAGATGTAGGGCACATATATTCGTACATACTTAAGTACACAGTAACCTGTGTTGCCAGTACTTCAGACTTTGTGTAAGATTGAGAGACATGCTGTTTGAAGACATCTGTGAGCTGATGTGGGCTAGAGGCTATACTCTGGGGCCACTTCAAATGTAATTCTAACCCAGAGACTGTAGGTTTGACATCTCTAAGCCTGCTGCTCATCAGATGCATTGGATGAGGCCTGAGGGGGAGTGGAGGGTTTGTTTCATCTGAAACTCCTTTGGGATACCCTAGACTAAAACAGATGGAGTCAGGTTTAGGGTCAGCCTCGTTTCATTATGACCACAACACGAGGAGGGTCCACACGTGATGCTTAAGTCTACGATGAAATTCTGTTGTTGTCCGTGGATTTGAAAGATGGATAGATGGAATTAAATGAAGTGTGTGTTCCAGTGAGATTAGCTATCATACGCCTGAACACACTGCCGCTAAACAATTGTGCTCCTTCTGTTTATCTTAAGTTTGGTGACTTACACTGTATATTTATGAGCTCATTACGAACAGGAAGCAGTAACCACTCTCAAGTGTTAGATGTTGCTAAATATCCAAAAATAAAAACAAATACAAACTCGAACTACTCTAGTGGTGTTTGCTTTATGTGGTTATGATTCCTGTTTACATCAAAAGTTCAACTGGATTTGCGTTCAAGAAATACAAAATGAAACAAATAACTACGCGCGTCAAAATATCTTTTGCATAAAGAATTGACAAACACATTTGAATACTTTTAATAGTATTACAAATCTGAAAGCCCCATCGACAATGATCTTATATTTCTGAACCACAGGAGCTTTTTCCTTTCAAATACACCAGCAGTAGTGATTCCCAGTGGGGTAAAAAAATACCCCAGGGGCTACTTCTGCAATTGCCAGGGGGTGCCATGACAGATCAGCTCAGTAACATCTAAGAACAGGTTTGTGCAGAAAGGTTAACAGTTCAGCAATAAGCAGATACATAAATAAACTGATGATTCAAGCGGACAATTGATGATCGAGAGGTGAAAACAATAGTTACATCTATAATAAAAACTAAGACTACTAAGCAATGTGAGTCATCAAGTAAAATCAAACCAGCCAAACCCCGTATCTCTCTGGTGTACGGCGATGTTGGTTCAGCTGTGGCGCCTTTAAAATATCAGCCTATAAGACCATTTAACAATGTGACTGGGTGAGTTTCTGTTCTTTACAGATATGTTTCCAAACCATGACACAGAGAAAAAGGATACGAAAAGATTCAATCAAAGCATGATTAAATAAAATCATCCTGGTTTTATCACTATGGAAATGAGAGCATTTTAGACACCAATACCTTTTTTTGCCTCACAGTTGCTTCTAAGTTCAGCTTTTAATCAATAATTATTTCAAGACATTTATGAGACTGAAGATGCTCCACTGTCTGATCCTTAATGGACATGACCTCTTGTGTATGAATACATTTTCTAAAATCAATGATCATATCTTTTGTCTTAGACATGTTTAATGATGAATGCGGTTGTTGGTGCCAGACGGATAGCCTGGGTATTTCAGAAACTGCTGATCTACTGGGATTTTCCCACACAACCATCTCTAGTGTTTACAGAGAATACGCCAAAACAGAGAAAACATCACGTGAGCTGCAGTTCAAATGGCTTGTTTATGTTAGAGGAGAATGGCCAGACTGCTTTGAACTGATGAGAAGGAAACAGTAAGTCAAACAAATATTCATTTCAGCCAAAGTATGCAGAGGAGCCTCTCTGAACACACATATCAGACCTTGAAGCAGA